GAAAGAAGTATTGAAAGATTTAAGGAAAATATTTTTCGAACAATAATCGGAGCTATATCGGATCCGAGTACTAACACATGGAGGAGAGAAACCAATAAAGAGCTGCTTACTGATCTATCAATATCTCATGATATGATGGCAAGGAGATTAAGATGGGCTGGTTATAAAACCACTACACTACAATCAATGTCTCAATAATAGTCAAAAGATCATCTGAAAGTCCAAAAACCAGTTGGATAGATCAAATCAACAAAGATGCAATAGAGCTGCGTGTATATAAATGGAAAGAAATACCCCAAGATAGGCAAGGATGGAGAAGTCTGGTGTATGGTTAAGGCAGGAAACGATCTATAATTCCAACAGAAACAAAAAAAATAAAATTATTAATACAAAAAAATAATTTTAATGAGCTAATCTATTGTAACATTGTTAACACCGTGGTGAAGTTGACTATTAGTCCGTGGTACATACCCCTTTTTATCGAATTATTAACAACCGGCTGAAACTACGAAAATTCTCGGAATTGCGGCGTTTCCAATCTCGATGTCACCAAACTTTGTCTATTTAATTAGGTACTTAAAACTCGTTTTTTTTTCATTTGGATCGTAAGATAATTTGATAACAAAATAGATAAAAAAAATATTGTGCCGTTTGCCCTACATAACCTCATTATTTTGACAGTTTGGGGGTATAGGTCACGCCAAACGGCTCAATATTTTTGAAGGCCACCTTTATACTCGACTTTATGCTTAAGCTACCTTACGATTCTAGTAGAAAGCAAATGGGTATTTACTTTTTTTAGTACATAATTAAACAGACAAAGTTTACTAGTCTCGAGATTGAAAACGCCCAAATTTCGAGTATTTTCGTAAATAAAATAGTTGTGGGTTACGATGAGCAGAAGTTATTTATGAAGTTTCAGGCGAATATCAATAATTTGATTTTTAAAAAAGGGTCTGTACCACGGACTATATTTCTTACAAACTAATTGGCATTTACTGCAATCGTCAAGATCGTATTTTGAAGAGTTTGTAATTACTTTCGTTTTGTAGTGGATACTGCAACTCACACTTTATAACCGTAAGGTCTTAATATTTTTTTGTAAATTAGATTCGTTATTTCAGGTTTAAGCTGGTTTTCTGGATGACTACGGGATATAACGCGTATATGAGGCAGGATAGACTTTTTAGTTTCTGTTGAGCACGTAAGGAAAATCAAATTCAAACAAAAAAATATGAAATTTGCTCAATTTTAAATTGGGTTATATAGATATCATGTTCCGGATAGATTCCGAACTATCAAAATCATTTATCATCCAATCATTAAATCAACCAAATATGTTCCTTGATGTCTAAAACGTAAAATGTGAATGGAAATATTTGATTCTCAGGATAAAAAATTATTTCATTTTAATAAATAAAAATCTAAAATTTCATTAGCGGTAAAGTAAAAGAATAATATTTTAATCACTTCTTAATTATTTTTCGTAAATTATTTATTAAATACAAAATGTATTTTACATATAACATAATAGAATACTTTGGTTATCGGTTAGGGAAGAGTTAATTCTCAGGTAAATGGGTGTGTCTGGTCCGATTATTTTACCCCATCGCCATCGCCCATGACTGATAAAAAAATCAAAGTCATTAAAAAAAATGACTTTAATATAAAAATAAATTGAAGTTCCTTTTAGGGAGGTATTGTCAGGGCTCAGAAATATCTTCTTTTTTTTTTTCCTTTCTTGTCCCTTCCTTTCAAAGACCACGGAGGGCTCAGCCAAGCATGTAGATAAAACGTTCAAAAAGGACAAGGGCGCCCTCTGCCGGCTTAACTACTTCCACCTTCTTTCATAAGGCTCTCTTCTTTTTGGTCCCAGGTCGTTATTATCATCTGACGGAAATGCCATTTGTTACTGCCTATGAGAAAGAAAATGCAAGGGTAAAATACTAGATTTTAAAGTAGCTTTTACATTACATCCTTAAAAGCGAAGATCCTTGAGTGTTAGATAAATAAAAGAAAAATATTACCTAATAGGTTTACTACCTACCATTCACTAACATAAAATGTATAATGTTGTACTTATAAGTATATACGAGTCATATGAATATTATTTGTTCATAAAACCGCAAAATTAAATTCCCTAAGTAATAAAGAAAATGTATAAATGGGATTAGTATTATTAAGATGTTATAATATGGTGTATTAAACATTGTATTGGGTTGGCAAATAAGTCCTTTCGGTTTTTATGTCACTATGATAATCTTATGTCACTTCTTATCTGACGGATTAATCCATAAGGTATATTGTTTATCCTGTTTGTAATATATCAAGAACTATATCTATTAACTACTTTGCTATTGCATTGTGAATATGGAAGAAAATATTCATTATCGGCATATTATATTGTATTATTTTAAAAAAAGGAAGCTGTTAAGTAAAAAAAGTACCTGTCAAAATTGGTTTGCTAATTTCATGCAGGAAATTTTGACATCAAAGATGCTCAACGGTCAGGCCCACATGTAATTGCAGCGAGCAATGTTAAGGCCATTGTTGATCAAAATCCCACTCAATCAATGCGAGAGATTGATATGATCCTAAATGTGTCGCACACAAGAAAACCATTTGCACAAGCTCGGCTATGTTTGCAAATTTAATGTTTTTGTCCCTCACCCTCTAACCGAAGTCAACTTGGTAATACGCATTTCTGTTTGTGTATATTCAATATTGATTTACTTACATCATTTTTAATTATTTTTGTTTTGTTTAATATATTTAAATTTCTACAAACAAATAAAAAAATACTTCCATACCTCTAAAACAACATTTATTTATTTTTATAAATAAATTGATTTTTAAATACAGTTTTTTTGTTTAACAAAATATATATATATAACGCTATATTTGGTTGATATGTACATCCCTAGGCACAGCGCAAGTCCATTACATTCGTTTGATGTGAGCGAAACCGTCAGGCCACCAGATGTCACGCTCACGACTCACGAAGTCATGATTTGCTGTTTAAATATGACACACGACGTATCTCAGTAGTAGCTTACGGTTTGCCCACAATTTTTTATTCATTTGGTTTCCATTTATTTATGGTAAAGTTCAACGAACATATTTTCATCATTCATTTTATCATGAAATATGTTTCGTCATTTAATTATGAGGTACATATTTATAAGCCTAATCATAAAAACTAACCTAAGAAAATAAATAAAACTATAAAATTCAATTAATTTCTGCTCTATCAATGAGATAACGGAACAAAATTATAACGAGTGGCTCATTAAATAATACATAAGCAGATAACTCTCTTTGCAACTTGTACTCTTGAACGTTCGTTGGAGTTCGTCCCAGTTTCATGGGCCATATTCCTATCTTGTTATGGCTTCATCTTATAAGGCAACTGGATTTGGTTACTCTTTAAGCAAAATAACGTCTAGGCATATTTCTCTATATCACCGTTACAAATATAATAGATTGCTTTGACACAATTAGAAGAAAATAACAGGTATTAAAGAACGGTATTCTAAGGAACATCAGGTTAGTCGTCATAAATCAAAGGCTTCCTATCCAGTGTCATCCTTTAATAATATTCCAGTTACTTCTGTTCAACAGATCCGTTACTCTTGGCTTCATACGCTAGAAGACGAAATTAACTTGAAATGCGTATACAGTCGAGTTCATAGAAATTGCATCATCTATTTCTTTTGATTCTTATATTGATAACGCTGATTTTATTGAATGTTTTTATTTACCTTTACTAATTAATGTTACAAGAAAACTTTAAGAATGTTTCTCAGTTCAGTTTTAACTAATGTCAGCATTAAAGCTATAATTATGATTTCATTCAAAAACTATCATCGTCAAAAAATATTAAAATTGTGACGTTACATGAAGTAAAGGAATTTTCACAGAAAATAGTAACGAGGATAGGGTACCACCAATCAACGGTAGTCATAGTTTTGAGGAAGAAAAAAAAAAAGACTGCATAGAGCGAAAAACAAACGAACAATTTGACCGCTTAATAGTGCGATTATTTTTAGAATATCGTTTCAAAACTGGCAAAGAAATATCCAGAGATTCTGTAAAGTAAATAATTCGTCAGCGGTACAATACCAATTAAATGGAAGAGGATTGAATCGATTTGAGTAGATATGATCTTGTAGGTTTAGGTTTTGATTGAATTAAACCGAAGATAGTTGATTTAATCGATACCGAATCTTTAGATACGCCAAACATTTTTATTCATTTATTAATTTTGGGCACTATAAGACTCAAGGAGAGGCTTTTGATCTCTTCCCTTCCCCCAAAGTATAAAAATATATATAATTTTTTCATTGATGTATATTTATTTATATGAGCAACCTGAGCCAAATACTTGTACAATCACAATACGTTCTCTATTCAAATTATAACCCATGTACTTCAGTAACTAAACGGAAACAGGTGCCTAGAAGAGATATGAAAATTCGATCCCTCGTTATTGTCCATTTTATCTTGTTCTTTGTTTTGGAGAAAAAAATATCTACCACTACAATCCATGAAGGGTCTTGGGTTCAGTACTTAGTGATGAAGTATTATTTCTAGTCCAACGGAAAAGTTGTGTTAGAAGATGAACTGTCAGGTTTTTCCCCTTAATTATCCATTTAATTAATATTACCCACTTTATAGAAGCTGGACCCCAAGGTCAACCCACTGCTGATCATACAGAAAAAAAAATGACTTGCTATCAGCCGGATTCGAAGCTTGAACTCAGAAAGTCACTGTCTTACTCAATGAGTTACCTCGCTCATTTTTCCTTCATCTGAAAGGTCCTTCAAATTGAAACCCCCAAAAAATTCATTTCCCTCCGAAATTCATAAGTCTATAAAAATGTACCTCCTATTAAAATTGTAACGGCTCCTCAGACTAAACTCTTTTATGTACTAAGATCTATTTGTTAACTAATTCACCTGTTTGAAGAGAGTATTTACACGATATTGTGCCTGTTTCAGCTTTGTGCAGGAGTTCGTGAGCCCAGGCCTGGACGGGTGCAGTCAGCTGCTGGAGACCCTGCGATGGACGCAGACCAGCCAGAGTAGCCGGCGGCAGGGGATGCTGGACGAGCTGGCTTGCCTCCAGTGCCTCAGCCACTGCTTCAGGTGTCCGGAGACCGGGCTCAGGATGGCCCAGTCCCCGGCCGGCCTCTTCGGGCTAGCCGCCTCCATCATGAGCAACCTCAACAAGTCCAGGATACTCGCTCTACAGGTATGCTTCTATCGGAGGCTGTGGTGGTCGAGCATGTTAAAGCTTTGCTTGCTTTAACCTTCTGGAGTCTAGCAGCGCCTGGTTGAATCCTGCCTGGATGGGTTGAAATTTATTTTGTTGCAGATCCACGTAAAAGAAACTAGTCAATCAATGTCAGTTATATCAGTTCAGTCATTAAGAATGGAAGATCCCTTCATGAACTGATTTTTATTTTGTTCTCTCCTTCTTCATCATTTAGGCTATACAGGGTTTTCTTGGGCCGGGGGGTAAGGGCAAAGACTGGGTAATCAGTGATTGACAAAAGTTAATGAATCCTTAAACATCCATCCAGGGCTAGAACTAAATTTGTTTTTGCATCTTCTTTCACCTCAACTCCCCTCCCTCCAACAAAAGTCTACATTTTATAATAATATTTTAGGTAATCCATTTCGAAATAAATATTACCATCTCATAATATTAACTCATTTTTTATACTTTGAACTTAATCAAAGAGATCAAAAAGCGTTACCAAAATTATTTCCTAAATATATTATTGCTTTAAGAATAAGTGTGCTACCTATTTTTTTTTTTTTTTTAATCTTACAAGGGCAGCACAAATATTTTTTAGCCCAACATGTGTGCTGTTAAATTCCATTAGCCCATCATGGGTGCCGCAGTAAAGAAATGTGGACACTTCAGCTTATTTGGACTTAGGTTCAATTAAAACAGAAGAGAAAAGTATGAAAGAGACAGAAGAGTTGTTGCAGGTGATAAAACTCGCTTTAGTTCAGTATAAAGGCGTTTTGATTTTAAATTAATTAAATCAAATTTTAATCTTATAAATAGACATTACTATCAAAGTTGGACATCCTCTACTTTGACTGAAATTGAGATTTCAATAAGGTTTGACAATTTCTGAAAGCTGTAATTAATGCTAGATTCTCTTCATTAACTAATCAATTATCCTGATTGAATACCTGATGGTTGACCGTGGTACATTATTGAATAAGAACATGGTCTGGGGTAGCAGTCATAAAAAGACTAAAATAGTGGAAAAACTATTTTATTTAAAGCAAACGTTCCGACCCAACTTTGCAGGTCTTCTTCAGGAGGTTGTATGCAGTATGGAGTTTTGGTTGAAAATGAGGAGCTCACTTTATTTAATTATGAATAAATTTTATAGATGTTCTTCGTTGCCTTTTCAGATATCTTCTTCATCCAGTTATAAATTATTTTAACCTTCAATGCACTATATAACTGAAGCTTTGTACTGAACTAAAAAAACAAAAAACAAATATTTCCTTTCCTAACACAGATTAATCATAACGATGGTGTGAATGAACAATGAAACAGTTACTGAGAATTCCCAAAGAGATTTTCTCACAGTGATAATTTTCTAAATATACCTCTGTTATTTCATCCGGAATTATTGCAGGCCTGAAGGCCATTTTTATTATTACAACATTGTTAGATCAGAAGGAAAATATCAATCATTCGGGTGGGAGGGGAAGAATGCTGAATGTTATGTCAATCCACTTCACACTTGGATGGGACCGATTGTTTTTTGTTTCATTTCTTTTTTTTTCTGAGCCTCAACAAGAATGTAACTAAAAAGAAAGAAATATATAAGAAATAGAAAATAAATATATCTTTTTTTTATTTGTTTATAGTGAAATTCATGATTGCTTATGAATTAATATAAAAGGATGAAATATCAATATACAATAATATAAATATTATCCCAGTTTTCACATTTGCTGTCCAATCGACTTGAATTATCTCACTAAGAATCATTTTGTGGAAAGGTCTTATCAATATGACTATCTATTCAGAGTTAAAAAGTATAATTAAATGTAGAATAGATCCCTGGACTTTCACTAACTCTTTCAGGACTGATGAGTTAATTTAATATTAACATTTCTGGATGAATGCCAGGCCGGAACTAGAAGCTAAGGAAAGAAGGCCCTTGCCCCAGGTGGCAATATTTAGAGGGCATCAAATTTGTTGAAAAAAGGTTAAATTAAAAATTTTGTATGTGCTTTCTGATTAGTCAATAAAATGAGTATATGTTATGAGAAAATGAGAAGTTATGAGAAACTTTTGACTGCTTGGAGATGATACAAGAAGGGATGGCAAAATTATATCTCCTCTTTGGCAAAAACCTTGTCTCATTCCTGTATGAATGACTTTAATGTTATTTTAATGTTACTGACACATTTCAGTAAAGTGTAGTGGCCTTCATTCATACTTCCTGTATTTATACATCTTTATTACTCACCAAAAGTACTACATGATGCTGGAACTCGTGGTTCCATCACTTAATAAAATTAAAAATTATTTTAGTTTAAAAATTTAATTGTTTTTTTTTCTTTACCCCATAAGGTGTGGTATTGAGAACAGGAGGTAGAATGAACATTAAATATAACCTCTTCAAAAAATATCATATTGAATTTCATTGCACCGAATCTATCCATTAACATATTCTATTCATGGGAAAGAAGTGTTTAGAATAGTTTAATAAATTTAAAAAACTTTTATTTTCCAAAATTAAAGTTCATCCTTTTTTGTTTTTCAGATCCTCCGTAAGATATGTGAAGAAGCCGAAGAAAAAGGATTTGGTCCAGTTTCAGATGCTATGTCAACAATGAGGCTAAGGTTTGGGGAGCCAGTTCGGTTCAAGTTCCTCTGCGGAATGCTATCCAGCGCAACACCAGATCTATTGCACGCTGGTCTTGGCTTCATCAATAGCTTTTTAGAATCTGCACCAGAAACACAAATGAGACTCTATATACAAGCTGAGCTTGCTCAAGCTGGTTTCGATCCTGACTTAATTTCAAAAGTACGTATTGTAAATTGTATTCATTTACTCACTATACTTTTTAATATTTAAATATTTATTTTTAAAAAAATATTGTTATTAATGACATATAGTATGAAGTATTCACCATGGAACCCTCTTCATGCCCAATAATTGAGAAAATGAGGGTTAGGACACAGACTGGAAAGAGGCCTTAATTTTTTTCAGATCAACTTTTAGTTATCACCAGAGCTTGAATTTTTATTTTTTTTAAATAATAATAATAAAATATGATATTTCTATAATATACAAGTAAATAATTAAAATTAAAATAAATTAAAACTAAACTATAATATGCCCAAAAATCCCCCTAACAACAGAATCTGTATGGATGGAAATTCATTCTTGAGAGTAGACAGATACAAATGCCACAATAACCTCAATAAATGGTCATCTGATATCAACCAGCATATGTCAAGTAGATCATTCACAAATAGATCTTTCTCTTCTCTCTTTCAAGAGAGCAATCTTGGAGGAGAAAATCTAAAAGAAACTGCTGATAGGAACTGGTCAGTCAAAATCTTATGATATGAAGGTAACGAGATGAAGATGGACGGGACATGTGACTTAGAGCAATCCAACAGGAAGCTTCTACACAACATTGAATGCCACAATAGATCAACATCAAGAGAGCACATGAAAAGCCAAAAACAAAATGAATAGTTCAAATCAATAAGAAGCAAACTGGAAATATAACAAGATAACAATAATTTTTCAAAATAATAAAAATTTATAATTTATTATTAATTACATTTTAAAAAAATAGGAGAATACTACTTGTCTGCCTAACGGCTGACCAATCCCCATTTTACAAATTGCACAACCGTTCATTTAATTGTGCTATTCATTACTCAAATTTTATAGCTTTACTTTGCATGTGTTCTGTTGTTCATTTTGTATTATTTTTTATCAACATGAAATAAACTGAATGAACGACAGTTCAGAAAAATTTTTAATTTCTTTAATTTTTTTTTTTACCTATGTATATTAATTTTCTTATTTTACTTTCCACAACTCTTTTTCTTTTTCTTTTATCTCTTTTTTATCTCTATTTAGTTATCATTTGTATGGATATATTGTGTGAATGTTTAATGTAGCCCTAATATTAATGCCCTCCAATGCGGCAGCATGTATTAATTTTCAAATAATAAAAAAAAAAAAAATTCTTTAAAAAACTATATTATACATGGCGGCTTATTGCCAATTTATATATATTTTTTTTTTACATGGATCGCTCAGCAAGGAGCACACGAAGATCATTTCTTGTCCTTCTTCACACCTTCCGCCTTCCTTCTACTCCAATACTCTTTCATCCTCCTGGACTGTTCTCACTTAGTCCATTTTTCCCCTTGTCTCTCCCTCCCCCCCCCCCAAAAAAAACCACAACCTCTTTTAGTTTTTTTCCAAAAATCTCTCTATCCAAGCAGTCTTTATCCATAATTTTTAGCCTATCCAGTTTCTCTTTTATTTGTTTTACATATCGTGCCATACTTTTATAGCTGCAGTCTCTGTCGAAAAATTTCTTGTTTAATCTCTCATCGTTCATTCTGACCATGTGCCCGTAGAACCTGTCTCCTGGTCCTGATGACTGTTTCCAAATTCATATATATTTCTTCATTGGATTTTCGCCTATACCTCTCTTGCGTTATTTTGGGTACATGAATCCTCAGAATTTTCCTCTCAACCTTCAGGACTTTCTCTAAGCTCGAAAGACTGAGGCCTTCTTATATTAATATATATTTATAATTATTCTTATTGCCAATTCGTAACCATAATATGTATTCTACTTGTCCAGCTTCATATAAGCCCAACATTTGAGCATTTTATTTCCAATATATTGATTGTACGTTATATTGTGCTTCCATTTCTATTTCATAATAATTAATATATTTTATCCAAGAGAAAATGTTTAGAGCAAAAAAACTGCTGTCACTTAGGTGAATTCAAACTACCCACCTCCAGTTGAAATGCCATTTCCCGTACAAATTTTTAATCAAAAATCTTAGTTTATATTAGGAGATTAGGAGGTAATTAAATGAACAGATGTATAATTTGTAAAATAATCGCCTAGGAATTTAAACTCCTGTTACCTCCTACTCTCCTAATATTAAAATATGAAAGTCACTAAAAACTTTTTTGCATAAATAATAGAGCGATATTTATAGAAATAAATCAAATTCTCAGTTTGAAAATTCTTGTTTATGGAAATTCTTTTTAAACTTTTTTTTTTTATTTCAAGTAGTTTGAAGAATAACAGTGAACAAAATATAATCCAATTTTATATTATTATTTATTTCTGAATGTCTAATTTATATTTTCATGAAATTGTATCTTTTACAGAATATTTCAGACAAAGCAGCCTGCTCTGATCTTATAAAGAGTGAACTGAACAGATGGAGCTGGTTGCATGTAGATATTGTGAAATTAAAGTCACGGGAAGGGGAATTAGTCAAAGAGGTTCATCATCTTAAAGATAGGGTTAAGATTTTGGAACGAAGATTACAGGTAATTTATTTGTTCAAGGTAGAACAACTTTTATAGATATGTGATAACAGATGATTTTAATATGTAGCACTACTTGGCTGGTGTTTGACAGTGAAGAATTATTTCAGGACTGACTTTTCACTTTATCTTTTATTAAAAGTGCCCAGTTTTCAGTCACTTATATATGACTGTCAGGACATCAATATGATTTCTAATAATAATATTTATTGGAAATATTTCATCTCTCTTTAACATTGAAATAAAAATATATATATTTACGATTACATGCCTTTTTTTTTTTTAAACTGCAGTTTTATTTGTTAATTTCTGGCAGTTGTTACAGGGACGAAATGACAAAGACAGACATAAAAAAAGTTATCCTTTATTTGATGACAAACCTGTGACATCTCCATTCAATGAGGTACATAATTAGGTTATAATGAGTGTTAGCATATCTAACAAATTTAATCCAGTGTTTCTCAAACTTTTTGTCATAATGTTTTGCTAACAATATTCTCTCAAGTTTCTGCTTCCTACTGAGCTCAAGTATTGAAATCTGTGTACATGAACGTTTCAATTACACCAATTAGACCACATATACAAATCAAGCCTGAAGCCAGACTTTTACTTTACAGACATAAGAACCTAAGTTACCAAGTTAAATTAAACACTACAAGAATGATACTGTTCCTAAGTGTGGATCTTAAAATTTTGTTTGTTACAACAAAAATGCATAAAATACCCAAATTACCTACTACCTATGAACAATTATGTTTAAATTAATAATTAGGTCACTGTGCATTAATGTTTTACATTTTAATATAAAGTATAATTTTAATATTTTAACATAAAGAAGTATAATCCTTTTTACATCAAGCAAGACTACTTATCTACCATTAATTTGTAAATACATTTATATCAACAAAAATGTATTCTTAACTATATTTTATTTATTAAAGCTTCAATAAAATTTTATAGGATTCAATAAAGTTCAAAGGATATTTTTAGCTTTTGTATACTTTAGATTTCACAGATCATACTTTGAGGAACACTGAGGAATCGCTTATTTATCTAACATTTAAAAATGCTTGTGTTAGTGATTATTATTCATTCTCTAACCTGCTAACTCTATTCTTTAATATTGCTACCATATAAATATTACTAACACAATGTATTTTTCACTTAATGATTCAAGAAGTGTTTCTATTTATATCCTTTTGAATGCATAAAAGTTTTTTCAGAAATCATTAAAATATTAATAAAACACATTATACTGACTTGTTTTTTGCCAGTTTCAAGCTACTTATGGCATTTTTGTTTATATAGCTTATATTTTACTTAATCCTCTACCTCTTATTCTAAACTCAATTCTTGGTTAAAGATAAAGCAAAAAAATAAAAAATAAGGTGTGTGCTTTAGACCCCACGATATAAATGAAAACATTAACAATATGAAATATAAATTATAAATAATAGCTCATTACAAAGAAGTTGAAGTGCTGAACATTCCCCTCACTTACAATATACAGATCCAATTTTTAGTATCTGAAATATTTTGATCTACATGTTCAACTAACCTTATCATTTGGTTTTCAACACTATTTTTTCCTTTTCGTCTCCCTAACACGATGTTGCGTTAAGATACAATTTTGAATTATAGCCTATTACAGAGAGGATGAAATACTGAACAATGTCCTTGCTTACAGTATGCAGGCCCGATTTAGGGTTTCTGAAATATTTTAATTAGTCAACTCTAGCCGACTTTTCCCTGAGTGTTAATGCCGAATGGAGTCTGACTGATCAATCTAATTCACTCTCCACAAAAAAGTGCAAAACATGCTTAAAGAAATTTTTACTTCAAAAAGTAAATATCATTAATTCTTAAAATAATAAATTTAAATTCTATTTTATGAATGGTTATTATAGAAAAATAGATGTTATAGGTAGAGAGTTAAATCATAAACCGTATTTTTTATCGCTTTTATTAATATTTACTCGATTTTTTCATAAATATTAGAATAATCATAACCCACAGACTGGAGACATACAAAATAAATATGTCAATATTTGATTAGTTATTGTAAAAAAATATAATTTATTATGTGTTATTTTTAATTGTAGATTTTTCTTTTCTCCTAGATGTTACAGGAAGAGAAATCTCAAGTCACAAGAAGTGAATCAAGGTTAAAATCAAAATGCATGGAACTTGAGCGAGAAGTCTCCTCACTAAGAGGAGCTCCAGGGGCGTCAACTCCAGCTGAAGATGAAGGAATAAGTTCTTCTGGGCAAGACGATGGAACAGAAAGGGAGCCTCTTATTTATGAAATGTATACTGTCAACAATGTGTTAGATTCTAAACCAAAACAAGAGGTATTTTTACTTTCACATACCTATAAATATAATACACAGGTTGTTCCATAAGTAGAGGGAAATATCTTAAAGATTGATAGTAAACATCAAGATCTACATATAAACAATCACCCGATTTTCAGTAAAAAAGTAGGAAATTTAAGGTATTTTTTTTTTAAGCGAGTCAGGTGTTATAGTTGAATAGGAAGCAATAACTAAAAAAATATTTTATTTAAGTAATTAAACATCGCTCCAAAGTAAACTATACTAAATTTACTTCAAACAAAAGTAGAGTTTGGAATTGTTAACACTATTTATAGAGGACTGTTGAGCAGAAAAACTCAGCTAAGGTCCATTTAAAAAAAAAAAGTCATGAATTATTTGTGATTTTATTTATCACATTTTAACTGTACTACAGTTTCTGCACTTATAGAAAAACTTCCTCGTTTGATAAGCTTCTAAGTCCATATTAATTAAGTTGAGGTTTATAAGAAAAATTTTTAGATTCACCTCAAGTTTTGTAAAGAAATAGTGTGATTTCCTATCAGGTCACCTAAAAGGTGATTTATTTTATTTTATTTTATACTAAATTTCAGCAAAAATTACTACAATTTACTATTGAAAAGCTTTTATTTCTTGTTTTTCTGTGATATGGGATGTATTGTAATAAACATGATTGCCTAAAAGCAACTTTTATTCATAAAAATAAAAAATTTCAAAATAATGATTTTTCAAATATTGTTCATGTAAAGTGGTTATAAACTGTGCTGTAGTGCCTGTACCTTGGCCAATCCTCTCCGTTTACAAATACCCGTTTATACATGTTTTTAAAAAATGTTGTTTTATTTTGTGTGTCATCCTTGTGCATGGCCTTGCTAATGTTCTCTATATTGTTATTAAGGGAAGGGATTTATATGCAAATTTAATGCGTGTTCCAAACATTGCCCAGCAACCGGATAAACTGAAGCTTAGAATGATAAAATAATTATGAGTTCGCATCTCGCTGCAAGTTGGGCATTTAATTCTGGCCTTAATTAATCTCCCATCCCAAGAAAAACACTGTTAGCCTAAAAGGCAAGAAAAGCGTGGACAAAAAAAAAGTATAATATTAAAACTTTTATTTTACCAAAATGATATTTAGTATAAAAAGAAGTAATATTTTTTAAATGAAAGTTTGTTTCGATCACTAGAAAACACATTTATTTTTAATCATTCCCTCATCTTCATTTTCCATAATTTAAATATTCTTGATTTTGTTTTTTATTATTATCACATATATGTAAAGGATGTTCCTTAATCATAAAATTTGAAATGTATTAAAAATATTTTTATATTCCAAGATTCTCCAGTCATGTTTAGAGTTGTTAATTTTGTTTTAGGAGGAAACAACAATAGATGAAGTCATAGAAGAACTACAGAATATAATAAATGACGCTGAAACTGATATTAATGATAAAAAAGATATTAAGAAAGAAAGAGAAGAGGCAGTACTTGCAAAATATTATACTAAATATTTGCAAAGATCAAGCAGTGATTTGTCAACTAATCAAATCGAAAATAATGAAACAGAAATAGTGCCAGTGAAGTTAGTTCCATATCCTCCAAGGAAATCTAGAAGTATGTTTTTCGAAAGAGAGTACAACAATAATGATTTATTTTTCGAAGAACAATCGGACAACTCGGATTCACTCCTTAGTGCTTCAAATGATCCTTCGCAGTATGTTGATCGTACATCTAAACCTCATGTTCCAATTACTCATAGAGAAGCTCATAAGAGTTATGTGAGAAGGCGAGAAACCTTCCATAACGGGATGCAAAAGGAAGAAGTAATTGAAATAAAACCAGAAATTAAAAATCGTAGGGGAAGTTTAGATGGTGTATTTTGTTATAATGAAGTTGATTCCTATACCAAAAGTACAAGAATTTACATAGACGGAAATGAGAGTGTAGGTAAAAGATTAAAATCTAAAAGCTTAGACAGGATTCGTGAAGGTCTCGATACCATGGTAGACATAGTCGTTACCAATGGCATTGAAGAACAACCAATCATTAAGCCCATACCTGTTCAGAGGAATGGTTTACCAAATAGTTATAGTATGACTTCGAGTAAGCAATCCGATGACAGCATACGCTACACATCTGACAGGGCAGTGTTTTTACCTATCAAAAGTGAACCTTCCCCAACTTCTACACAAACCTTCCTTTTAAAAAGAGGACATTTAAATGCTGGGATGTATTCGGGACAACTAAATTTAAAGGATACTCCGAGTGTTACTACAACTATAAATATTTCCGATTATTATAACAAAAGTTTAACAGGGCTTAATTTATCTGTTACAGGAAAATTAACAGATTTACCATCAGGATTATATTGATGACTGTAAATTTATACCAAATGTAAAAATACTTAGTCTAATTATATATTTACAATTAGTTGATTGGCATATTATTTATACTGGCTGAATTAAAATTAAGTCCATATCTTAGTAAAACTTCTTTTTAGACCCATACTGAGGCCATCTTTAAATTAATATTTTTAATTAGATTAAACAATAATAAAGTGCATAAAATAAATTCATTTATTGTTAAGCATTAAAATTAAATCTTAATAACTACTTAAATTGGTAAATTCATTATTAGTTATGGTTTATAGTTAGAGTTATACTATAAAATTGTATTTCAGTCGACTCTTAATGACTTACAACCTCAAAACTTGACCAGCCTATTTGTTTTTCTTTTTGTTTTTGAAACAGTGAAAAATCTTCTCAAGTTAAAAAAAAAAAATGTAAGATAGCTTTAAAATATATTTTTTAATCTCATATTTTTGTAATTTAAGGCGTATATTTTAAATAATAATATTACTTTCATAACTTGAAATGTCCTAAAGTTAGCCTATATCAATCAAACTGTTTTAAAGTTTTTGTTTGAGTCATCTGAGTTGATCATACCATTTCTTCTGTTATTTATAAATAATGTTAAAACCTTTGTTTAGCCAATAAGTCACCTTGTGATGGACAAGATAGATGTATAATTATGATGATAAGTATAGTTACAAAATATTATTAGTAAAAAGATTTTTTATCTTTGTGGTTATTTGAAGTAAAAAATATTTTTGTTTTACTTAATGACCATGTAGATATTGAATCAGGTTCAAGTGTTATTTTCTAAGGCTGAAAAAAATACACATGTTTATGCACTATTCATTTTATAATACAAATACCTCACAGTAAGTCTTTTAATTTTATTGTAAATCTGCCGAATATGGAAAAAAAAAATATATATATACAACAAAAAAAAAAAAATAGTTATTAAGTATATCCAAAAGTATTATATTAAAATATGTAATTGTTTGTAAATACTTTCTTTTTTGTTTATAAAATGCCATTTGAAACAATGTAATGGATTGTTCCTGTATAATAGATGATACCAAATTCTTTTAAAATCACCTGCAAGGATTAGTGTAAATATTTAATAGTTCAATTTGATACATGTACAACGTAAAGTATCTTTTATCAGTTTAAATATTGTACATACAAACTTTAAGCTAAATATGTAAGCGATCTCAGATTATTATAGAGACATCTAAAAAAAAAAATACTTTATGTAATTAATAGATGTGTATAAGTAAGTTAGGAACCTTAAAAAACAACAAAGACTCGATGTATAAAATGCTTTAATAAAATGTATTATAAAATTATTCACTCTTGTTTTCTTAAATTATTTAACAAAATATAAAATTAACAACTGATGTCAAAGCAAAGGTTCAAATTGAAGTACATGTTAATAAAAAATAACATTTCATCTATCCTGTAGATAACATATCTTCTTACCTCAACCAATGGGAAATTTAAGAGTTACAAAAAAAGATAGACGTATATATATATTAAATAAAACACTAATAAATGGTTAAAGTTCTACTAGTAACTTCTCAGAAAAATAAAATTCTTTCAGAAATATTCGTCACATTTCAATACAAAAGTTATTTTATCACAAGCATTTATCGTAATTAACCAATACCATTTTTGTCAAGTTTAAATTGTCATATTTATTAGACTAATCCCATTGTATCGATTCAGTTTTGCTTTATAATATTGAGACAATCTGTATAACTTTATCTATAAAGCTAAAATAATTCAGATCTTGGGATACAAACATAGTGTTTGAACTAAATATTAAAATGTTCAAATAGTATTAGGAATATACCTTATTCATAATATAATGAATGGCCTCAATACAGGCAATATTAAACTACATAACATTATTTAAAAATGTTAAGTAAGATTTTTCTAGCTTAAAAGAAATAAATCTTTTATCAAAAATAAAGTCAACAAGTCAAAGACAATGAATTATGATACAAATTTAAAAATTCACATCCTTCATATATTCATATAATATTAAGTAAAAAAACATAGATCTTAGAGAAACTATAATGACAAAGTCCCTGTCAAATCATTTCAGGTACAAGGATGCAAGTTCACAGAATCGTTTGTAAGAAATCGTGTATTAATTAGAAATTCAATAAGTTATTTTTTCAAATACCTACAATACTTTCTTTTATGAAAAAAAGAGATAACAATTGTTTGTTTAGTATTAATAGATAGGATCTGTTGAATTTCTATCACAAACCACTTTAAGTGAAAATCAAAGAACAAAATTATTCATTTGTCCAACATAAACAAAAAATTAATATTTAAATGAAAATGTATACACAGTATAATTATAATAAGAAATTATTGTGTTACAGTACACAAAATGTACAAGTGACAAAAACAAGACAAAATATTTGATATTCTTACAATACAAAATACAAAAACAGAAAAAAAAAACAAATATTAACTTAATGCAGATCAAACTCCCGATTCATCCTCCAATATTTAATCTGTTTCACCCAAAATTAAAACTGACTACAAACTATAAGTTTAAAATAGTGAATGAAAATTAAAAGTAAACTTACAGGTGAAAATACAAGATACAAGTGTATTTACAATAACTAACATTTAATACAAAAACTACAATAGAAAACAGAATGCACTGTGCTACGGAATGGTAGAGATATATCTAACAGTAGTTTATCACAGAATAAAACACAATGCACCAAACACATGTCCTGTTTTCATAAGTGCCATGAAAACAATATTTCACGTTTCAGTCTGAATTTTAATGGTATCAAACTGGCGTGGCAGTATATTAAATAATATCCATCTACTGATGAAAAACATCCACATCACATTATGATTATATTTACAAATGCCACAATAACCTAATAATTACTAACATAAAAAAATAGTCATTTACAGTTCAAGTCCTATAAATACTGTTTGGCAAGGATTACTACATACATACAATCTTTTTATTTTTTGTTTGCTGGGAAATCTAAATTGAAGGATTTCCTGGAACAATTGTTCCTTTTATACAATAGGTAAGCAGTGGTTCTTCACATTTTTCTTCCAACTCTGATCCATTTTGGTTTCTTTTTCGATGTGTCAAATCGGTCAACTCAGTTGAGACTTGTGTAATTTCATCTGAAATGCCGTTTTTATGAACATCTGAAAATTAAATCAAAGTCTCAATAAACAGAGAAATATAAATATTTATTTAATCAATTTTAAGTCCAAGAACCTACATCACATCTATGACAAAAAATATAGAAATTTTTAAAATTCATTTATACATCTATTGCACTACCGTTACCACTGTACGGGTAAGTTAATTTGAAACAGCTCTTTCTGATGATCTGTCTTATTGTAGAGGACAAATAGTGAATTTTATTTAACACTAAATGTACAATAGCTGTATGTAACTAACATTGAGCAAATTCCTAAACTCAGAATTGAACTCATTGATGACACCGAAAATTTATCAGACAGTTCCTAAACTCATAAAAGGAAATCATCGATGGAATTAAGCATATTATTTTATTCATTGATTATATCACAAATGGCTCATTTATTTACTTTTTCAAATTCAACAATTCAGTAAGTAGATATTTCCTTTAATATTTTTAGCAGATCTTTCTTAAACTCAGCATAAATCCCTGTCAATTGGTGCTGGATTAAATAGATTGATGAGTTCCAGCAATGAAATTAGTACTCAGTTAACAAACTTGCCCATAATGTATAAGTACATGTTAAACTAAGAACCTCCTTAATTTTGTAAATCAGTTATAAAGATCAAAAAACCAATGAACAAAAAAAAAATGCATCTTTATTGTTTAAAATATTGTAATTTGAATAGGAATTTAATTGTTTTCTTATTTTAACAAATCTAAAATAATGATTATTTTAAAAGAAAAGGATTGACTTTTCTATTATTAATTATCTTAGCTTTTTTATTTGCTTTAGTATTGTTTTTAATGAATTACTATACGCTATAATATCAAATGCATACCTTGTAAAGCACGAGCTAGTTCATCATTGTTTGATATTATTACAAAATGCTTTGTACAAATAGGAGACAGCACAGCAGCTAGACTTGGTTTCACATTGTAGAAAAATAAAGCCTGATGTCGCTTATAAAACTCATTTAATAAGACAGAAATACTCTGGAAAAAAAAATGATTATAATATAAAACCAAATACAGGGAATTAATAAATACACTTATAAATAGTCTATCAAACATATCTTTAAGTAATGACAATTTTATTAAATAGAGTTTGTAAGCTCTGAAATTATAAAAATACAAGACCTTTTCATGTTTTTAGGGTGAGTGAGGAACTATACTCATATAATGTTTAAAAAAAAAACAACAATCTTTGGTAACAATTTTTAGAAAATAAAATAAAATAATTCCCATTAAAAAAATTTAATATGTAATCTCTTAAAAATAAATGTTATTAATAAAGACACAAACAAGATTTTTCCTAAGAATACTGTCCATACTGGGCAAATCAGATGAGTCAGATTTATACTGAAAAATCTAGTAGTGCATCACATAACTTTCACACACCCTCTTCTTAGCAGAAATAAGTATTTTCAGATAAAGAAGAAGTGAAAGTAAAAATTATAGAATAATTAACTATAATTATTTATATTTCATTGTGGGTATTTTTATTTTTATAAGTAACCTCATATATACAAATTTGAATAATTATATCGGTGTAATCTATACAATTAATTATTAAATAATACCAACAATAGCATTTATGAAAACCACATATTTATATTCATATAATATTGTTGGAGTCCGTATCATATTAAGCTCTTATTACGTATAGAACCCTGTTATAGTCTTTCAGACCCCTGTTATAATCTTTCAGACGAACTCGGGTGCGATCAATTACAACTATTCTCCGTTACGAATTTTTATTTCTCCTTTAGTTAATTATCAAATTCTTTCATATTTTATATTTAACTATCTTTTACATTGGAAATTAATGTGAAATAGTCAATTGTTTCAAATAAAAAAAATTTAAGGTACTTTAAAGGAAGCTAATATTGAAAATTAGCCATTTAAGCCCTGTTAGAGAACATCAATCAGAATAAAAACTACATTTTATTTAAAAAATACTTAATTTTACACTGATATAATGAATTTAATTAAAATTGTTAAAACCGATTCCAAGAAAATTGTAAAAATGTGGTTAGTCCAAGATATAAAGTGCCATTGTAACATCCATAGCATATAAATACCTTAAATATACAATTTCACTTTCCTACGACTTTTGGTTTATGAGCTTGACTGTTAACACACACACACACACACACACAGACCATTTAGTAGGACTTGGTTATTTGCACTCAGGGGACCTCAAAACGAGTATTTCCATTGAAAACTGAGATTCAAAAATTTTCACGATCGCAATACTTTCCTTTACTATACATTTGAAATATAGATAAGTGAATGGGCTAACGTGTTGTGCACAGCACCACTGTTGCCCGGCAACCTGATATATGACAAATGTGTTATAAAAACAGTCATGAGTTCGTGTCCCGGTGCCAACGCGTCTTTTAAATACCCGCCCACACCCTCTGGCCTGGGAAAACCCCGTATAGCTGACAAACAGAGGAAACTGCCATACTATATTTAGCATAGTTTGACCACTTTGCTTCCTCTAGGTAAAGTCTGGGTGATGATAAAATCCTACAATAGAAGGGTTCCTCGATTTAATGGTTGGACCTTTCATTAGGAATTTCATTAGGAAAACTAAACCTTCAAGGGGAAAGAGAAATACAATTGGTAAAAAAAAAGGAATTGGTGTTTTTCTGTGGGGCAGTTAAAAGGACCAGAAGGATACTCTTTGTACATTTAGTTTTCTAAGCTTCTATTATCTATCAATTATTATTAATTAACTGAAAACAGAGAGAAACAAATGATATAAAAACTCCTTTTCCTCTCAATATGAGAACAAACCATGATAAAAATAGATTTAATGGCTGACTATGAAATATGTATTAAAACGAGAATATTAACCTATATTAAAAATAATATAATAATTAAGCTTACTTTGGCTGTTGTAAAATCTGTAGTTTGCATAAACGTACAATCGATAACAACAGGAAGGTGGGTTTCAGCAGCTTGGAGAACAGCAGTGCGAAAGTGCTCTACCCCTGGGAAATGAATACTTGAACTAGGTTTCACCCTAGTATATTCTGTTCCATTATTTTCCTATAATTCAATTAAAAATGGATGGTAAAGATGATATATAAAGAGATAAAGATGATAAATATAACTTAACTATATGTATAATTTATCACGCACAACTCTCTATATTATCTATCAAGTAAAACTGAGAAGTCATGCTGATTTTATGCACTAAAAAAAATAATAAACTTCTGTAAATATATTACCTGACTCTTTTCAATATATATATCTGGTCGAGCAGCATAAATTAGTAACAATGCAATATTTGTAGCAACACCAATCAGTATTCCTAATTCTACCCCAATTAGTAAACAGACACTGAAAGTGGTAAACATCGGCACCAAATCTTTTCCTAAGAAATATATTGGCATTTTATTATTTGCAATTATAAAATAGTTATTTATTGATTATTTTTCTATATAATGTAATATATGATACTTACGACTAGCTTTCCACATCGGCTTAATGACTTCATATTCAATCATAAATATAACAGCACATATTATCACAGCTGCAAGTGATGCTTTAGGTATGTAATAAAAATAAGGTGTTAAGACTCCAAGTGCCAATAAAAGCAGAACCCCTGAAAATATCAGGTTAATTAAAATTATAACAATCAAATGTTGATAATGCTAATTTCAATGGAATGGCAAATTACTCAGCTGTATGAGAGAATTCGTAAAAATCAAAATATATAAATCATTTTTCAAACATTTAATTTGAAATACATGGGTTAAACCAGGAAACTTTGAAATAGATGCCTTTCCACACAGCCACACAGAAATAACATTTATAAGTATGATAAAACAGAAAGACTGTAAGTAGAATAAAATAACCCTATAATTATTGAACAACTAACTCCAAGTTGCAGGGCTTAATTGAAAAGATATGTAATGACCAATTTTGTAAGCTTTATTTTATGGTCATGTGAGAAAAATTTTATGCAGAGGTAATCTTACGTTTACAGAAGTATTTTATTTGAATAAGAAGTAAAAATTTGGTTCATTATCATTATCATTGGTTCATTCCTCCCATGACTAAAGAAGATGGATATAATATCTTTTACTGTATATAAAAGAGATTACTAAGGAAAAAGTTTCATGAATAAGCAATTACAGGGCTATGTTCTAGTGATGGAGTGAGACTTTCTTAAAAGAGTAAAAAATGTAAGCTATCAAACAATATGTATTTTCGAAAGTGTTTCGATTATGTAAATAATATTACCTGTATAAACTCCACCCATTGGTGTCCTAACTCCACTCGCATGATTAACAGCTGATCTTGAAAATGAGCCAGTGACGGGCATAGAAGAAACAAAAGAACCAAGGAGATTACAACCAGCTAATGTCAGAAGTTCTTGTGTAGCATCCACCGAACCTCCACTGGCTAAGAACAATTGATCAAAAATCACATTTATTGTTTTGATAAATATATTTAAATATGTTTTAATTTTGAAAAATTATAATTACCAAAAGCTTTGGCTATAGCAACATTTCCCAATACTGCTATGATAGGTACTAAAATGATGGATGATCCAAGACCAGAAACCATGTCAAAGAAGCCAACTGTTTCGTTACCGATAGTAGTCGAGAAAGGTGGCAACTGAACTGCTGGAATACCTGATCTTACAGCTCCTAAAAGTAATTTTAAAATAATGAAATGATATGCTTGTAGCATAGTAAATTCTCAAAAAAAAAAAAAAAAAAAAAAATTTGATGAGTCTGTAGGAAGAATGATTTTAGTCCAATCTTGGTAAAAACTGAAAATGCAGTGCCATCTTGCGAGTTATGAGAAATAGAAATATAGTGCCGATAGAGATAGAACGAACTTCAATATTCCAAATGAAAAAAAAAATCTACAATGTGTGCTTAACATGATACAAGTAAAACATCAACAAGGCGAACTTAATAATATGAAATATAAGTATTTTTTGTTCTATATTCAAAAAGTAATAGCATTTACAATATATACAATTATGATTGTGTTTAAATTACTCTAGTAAACTTTACTCCAATTGATCATACTAAGTCAGTGTTATACTCTAGAAATGATACAATAGATTTACGATAACTGAAATACCTTTCCCCCCCCAAAAAAAAGTTAAACAAAGCATTGCCCACCTACCCAAACATATTGCCCTTTCATTTTTTAAAAAAGATCGAAGACGACGGGGGGTTAATTAAATCCCTTACTCAAAAAAAAAAAAAAAAAAAAAAAAAAAAATTAAAACGAAGTACCGCCTACTCACCTACTCGTAACATATTGCCAAGAGGGGCACCGAAAATTTGATATCACATGTCTCAGGATCCATATGCCTTATATGGTTTAATGTTGCTCAATACCCTTAGGCGTGAAAATAGGCCCTTTTTACACGTGCAATTATATTGACAGTGTTTGAATAATATTGAAGGAGCTTCAATAAAATTTTAAAAAAATTGACACCAACCAGTTTGATTGACGTCCATATAATTAATGCCAATGTAGCCCTTTTACGGTCAATATATTAAGGAAACTCTCGTCCCGGCCAAGGCTCAGGTCTTAAGACTCATACAAGCCCTTAAGGGCTCGGTAGTAAAAGGCTCGAGTCGCAGCTATGGCTACCTACTCCAAGGTCAAAACCACCTACCAGCGTCAGATATGGTTTCCCTAGAAACGTGAACCACATACTCATGGACTGTTACAGGATTACAGGATGGAAATCCCGATGAATTTCTTGAAAAAAAAAGGAATTCTACAATAGAATATAAAAAATCTGAGCAAAGAAAGAATTGCCAATGACCCTATTGAATAGAGGCAAATTCAATAAATAAATAAATAATTAAAGTATATGATGATCGTATATTCTCATTATTTTAGTATGATCATCTGATAATATGATTAATATGGTAATGAAATTCGTTCTGATTTGGTTTTTGGCAATATATTTTTCTCTATTTCACTTCAAAATCTTTTTTTTTTTGTAAAAAAAAATGCTCATTTTACTCACCTACAGCGATGTCAAAAATAAGGTAATTTTTGGTTATTGATCGCTTGTAGGTATTTTTATTTATTTATTTTGCTTTTGTTATATTAATTATTGTTGAAGTAGATCTCTTGGACCACTTTCTTTTAAACCTGCATCGACTAGATAACAGGGAGTAGGGAAGTCATTGGACTAGAGGATTGGAATGGTTCTGAGATAAAGAGTGAAATAAGGTGTATTTATTCTGAATATATGATTTTACTATAAAATTTTCATCCCATTACCTCTGTTGATGTATAAATTATATAGTATAACAAATATAATTATAAAATAATTCAAACAATAGAAGATTAAGTTTCATATAAAGAAATTTATAACCATATTTTAAGCATTATCCTATTGCAAATTATATGGCATATTATGCAGGATTTTACTGCATAAAAATTTAAATTATGCTTTAGACATATACAACAGTGATTTCAAAGTAAATTTTGCAAAATAAAGTTACTTTCCTGCCAGATTTAGATTTAGGAAAAATATGTTAACAACAGTGTCTTTATCCCAACCTTGTTGTTCAGAAACGTAACCATGTAAACGGGGCTATTAAGTATGTGATGGTTCTCTTTAGGAAAATTACGTAACTGCAATTTCTAGATCAAGAAACGTAACCGTGTAAAGTGGGTTTTAGGGTTCATAAGAAAATTTTCTTTAACATTTTTTATTTTTCTAAAATCATTCTTTATGCAGACATTTCAATCAGCATAACTGAAAAATATGTTCATACCTGTCAGCTTATAGGGCACACTACCATTATTATTGTTATGAAGGACAAATGATATAAATGAGCACACTACAACGACCAGAGCATTGCGAGAAGTTGAAAGTAGCCACAAACATTTCGCTATTACTCTTTTTTGTTTGGGAGATCTTTTATCAACAACAACTAGATCCTTAACTTTCTGGAAAAAAAAAAAAAAAATACATTCTATCATAGCTGGTCTATAAACTGTTTTATTAAATATTAAGTTGTATCACTTACCCTTAATAATAATAAGATAGCTATACAAACTAAACCTAACGTGGTGTCCCAAAATTTGGTCTCATGAATGTTTTCAACAATTTTCATCAACGTAGGCAAAAAGCCTTCAGAAGTAAATGATAGGCCAAGGAGGCCTTTGATCTGTGAAACCACAATAATCACCGACGTAGCCGTTGTGAATCCAACTGTGACAGGTTGCGAAATAAACTCAACCAAAACACCTAAAACAAATAACGAGTATAAAAGAAAAATAAATAAAAACTAAAAACAATATATTGAATACTTCAACACATCATTAATTTGTTGATAAAATAAAACAAAGAATATTTATTTAATGCAAGAGAACATTGATTGGTACTCAAGCTAAACATAGTAACAAAGCAGCACTTGTAAACTCAGCCATTTAATTTATTCTTAAGCAATGTTATAAACTTTTATTTTATTTATATTAATAAATGTTTCATTAATAAGAATATTTTTTTAACTTTGTCATTTCTTCATTCAGCTCTTAAGGTGCAACAAGAAGTGTTAATGTTTATTTTATTTTTTTTTAAGTATTTTGACAATAGAACGAAGCAAGAAAAGTAAATAATCATAATAAAACATAATGACATGAAAATGGAAAAGATCAGTAACAGGCATTAAAATATTTGATCTTGGGAATATTCTAAACACGAACATTAAATTAAATCATGGAACAAGAAATCTAATAAAGCAAGGTATATTGAGAAATTTAGAGAAAAAAAAGTTACTGGATAAGTTTTGACAAAGAAAATAAAGAACCTACCAGGGTAGCACTAAAATAAATTAAGAACATCTTGGCATTCACAAATGATTTAAAAACTGTAAATTTTAAATGAAATTGTAAAACAAAAATTTATGGAACGAACAGTTTTTGAATCAAATCCTAGTCAAAAGAGTTAAAATAGTATTAAACAACAACTACAATATAACTGATGAAGAGCCACAAATGCACATGAAAATATATTATCAAATGCTAATTATACCTATTTATGTAATATTTATATATATTAATTAGATCAATTAATTATATATATATTAATATAAGCAATTAGAGCAGTGTAATAACGAAAAATACGAAAGTTAAATTTTTCATGGAATTCTCTGAATTCACACATAAAGTTATGATTGCTATAACTTTTAATGGGTTAAAGAGAAAATACTAAAAAATATATATATATATTTTTTAAGGAAATTTTATGTTCAACAACTTTCGTATAATGAAAAAATAAAGTTAGTTAAATAAGGATAAAAAAAGGAGAGGTAAATTGTTTTTTCTTCCGAAATGCGTGAATTATGAGGACATACATCTCGAAAACCATACAAGAAAGGAAAAACATAAATAGAGTTTATTCAGTTCAAAATTTTGTCAACTCTAAGTTTACATAGAACATCATCCTCGCTAGAACGCATAATTTCCTTGATATAAGCGGAAAACCGAAAAAAAGTAAACTTTTCGAATCGTAAATTCAATTACCGAATAAGGAGTAACTTACGGTCATTTTATGTCCTTAGGGTGGTAAATAATATAAATCTGAAGGATTGGTAGATCTTCTGGTAAAATTAAAACGTTGTTGACCTTCTATATCGAAAATAAATGGGCGAATAAAATTGTTGAAGTGGATGACAAAGGAATCACTAAAAGGGTTATCGGGGCAAACTCAGCAAGTAACAACATCCTCTCAGGTTGTGTGATGTCTAACATGAAATATTAATATGCTACTTATTATTGATTATATGGCTAGAAATACTTTAAATTCTACAATATATTTTTGCAGGCAAAGAAAGGAGATGCCCGAGAAAGTAATCGTTTTTCTACTAAAACTAAGGGCAAGTCCAGTAAAATTAGGGATTGACCTCAACAATCAAAAAATAAAGATCAAACTTCAGGAATTGTTTATTGCCACCCATAACTGGTAAATATGCCCAAAGAATCCCGCGTCGGGTTTTGATGTGAAGAAGAGGGATGGACAAAAAACTGATATTTTTTTTTAGTTTTTTGAGGATATCTAAAAAACTATGAGATTTTTCGCAAAGATTGTTCAGTACAATATTAAAATACTTTAAAATTTCTATAAAAATGCTATGATTTTTTTTTTTTTTTTTTTTTTTATAAAATCTATGGTTGCGGAGATATTTATGAGATTATATTTATTATTTTTCATTTAAAGCAAAAATTGTTCCACAGTACGAAATGTTTTTCATAGTAGACTATACATTTTTGAAGTTTAATTAGTTTTGTTTTAAAACATTTTTGATCATTCAAATTATAATTTAAATAATAATTATTGTTTAAAGTTTTTTTGTTTTAATAATTCTTTAAAGTCCAATGACAACAGAATTAAACAAATTTTGTAATTTTTAAACCAACCACGTTTTATGTTGAATAAAATGCAACAACTAAAAAAAATTATTTAGTCAGAATTTATTTTACATTAATTTAGGTCACAACTAATTACTTCATAGTTAACTAGACTAAATTTACCTAAAGATTCAAGTAAATCTTGTCTTAAAGCCACTTTTAATCATTTAAAACAACGGTAAGTTCGGATTTTCATAAAACTAAGGATTCTTTACGAGTTGTTTTATAATCCCCAACTGGATTCAAGACACCACACTTTCAAAAAAACTTCCTTGTGTGATGAGCTTTAAGTCTATATAAATTAAGTTGTTACAGATTAAGTTGAGATTCATCCCTAATTGAGTAAAAAGATGTAAAAATATTTGGGTTGATTCCTAATTTTACCTTACTAATAATATTTTTACTCAGCGAAAATGTAAACTCAACTTAATTAATATTGACTTAAAGCTTTTTCTTTTTCATCGACCAAGGGAGCTTTTTCGAAAGTATAGTGTCTCTAGTCTAAGTGGGTTACAAAATAAATCGCGAAGAATCCTTGATTTTATGAAAACCCGAACTTACCGTAGTTTAACTGCTTAAAATATATTTCCCCCTTTATATGGTTTTAAAAAAGACATGATTTACTTCCATTAAATGTAACTTTAATCTAAAATACTTTGAAGTAATTGGTGGAAACCTAAGTAAAACATCTTTTTAGTTATTGCTTTTTATTCAACATAAAACGTAGTTGTCTTAAAAATTACAAAGTTTAAGTTTCCTGGCTCTCTGTATGTAATGGTTTGTGGTGATTTTTTATATGTTTTAATGTATTCTATCTCATGTTATCAATTATAAGAAATTAATGTAAATCTAAACTTCATATCGTTATCGCGAAATTCCCCATTCATTGGTGGTATCCAGTATAATTCTCTTGTCAATGACTTTTAAGAATCATAAAAAAAATTTGAATAATAATTTGAACGATCGAAAATTTTATAAAAACTAATTAAACTTCAAAAATGTATCGTCTACTATGGGCAATATCAATATCGTGCTGTGGATTAATTTTTGCTTAAAGTGAAAATGCAATAAATATCTCCGTAACAATTGATTTTATCCAACACAATTGTATAGGGTCATTTTTATAGAGAGGGTCATTTTAAATTACTTTAATATTGTACTTAGCAGTCTTTGTGAAAAAAACCTCATAATTTTTTAGATAATCTAAAAAAAATACCAGTTTTCTGTCCTTCCTTCCCTCGCTCCATCAAAACCCGACGCGGGATTCTTACAGACTTTTAATCAAATGTTATGGGGAGGATAAGGAACAATTTCTCACAAGTTTCATCTATATTTTTTGGATGTTGGGGCAAGGCTGTTTTTCTCCCTAACTTTACTGGATTAATAACACACAATCCTTCCAATTCCTCTTCCCACTCAAGTTTAGAAGATTCTTGACTTAAAGAGAGCTTACGTTTTGTAAAAGTATTTTATATGACTATTTTATTATTAACTTTGCGAAAAAGTATTTCTTTATCGTTTACGGATAGTAATATATTCTTGGATTTGAGAGAATGAGAAAACTACAGCACAAAAACAGTTTTTTTTATTTTTTTTTATAGAAAATATCATCTTTTCTCGTTGTTTAATTAATCATCTAAGAATATCTATGAATGAAATTTGAAATATAACTGTTAGTGAACATGTCAAGAAATCACCTCGATGAAAAAAAAAAAAAAAAACCGCCGAATACATAAAATTTCATCTAATAAATTTCAAACTATAAAAGTGTTTCCAATACGTGCCCATAAAAAATTAACTCAAATTTTCCAAAAATATTGCTAATGAATTAACAAACTTCATATATATTTATATTTAGTAAAAATTAATACCAAAGAACAGTTGAAAATGAACATCGTAAAGAAAAATAGGGTAGAGTGTCAAGAGCAGGTCACAAAAAGACAAAAGACCTCGTTTATCCTTGCGGCTATATTAGTAACGACTTTCGAAACAATACCATCAATTTACAATGTCATTGACTTAGCACCTTTAGTCATCATTATACCAATACAAGAAATATTTCTGATTTAATTTATTCATAACGAACAGCGAAAAAACACATAACAATTTTCATTGAAATATCACATGCAAGCATAATCCTTACCAGACTAAGCGAAGCGACACGAGGGTTATTTGTTTCGGTTGCTAAAAGGTGTGTAACAATTTTTTTAAGATAACGGCTGGATCGATTTTTACATTTGATATCTCAAATTTTTCGGTGAGAACCACTGAATTGTTTTAAACAATAGGAGCTTAAAAAAACTGACCCGTTATCGAATAAAATGTGCTTAATCAGCTAGTTAAAAAGTATTTAACTTTTTTTTTTACTTTAAGGCTGGATCGATTTTTAAGTTTGATATTGTAAATTATTCGGTGAGATCTTCTGAATGTTTAGAAAGCGAACCGACACGAGGAGTATGTGTTGAGGTTGTTATCTAAAAGGTATGTAACGATTTTTAGAGCGAATGGCTGGATCGATTTTAAAGTTCGATGGCTTAAATTATTCGATGAGGAATTTGAATCAATTTGAACTAGAAACACCGACCTGTTATTGAAACGTGGACAATCGATTGAGCTAAAAACGCTGACACTTTATTCAATAAAACGTGTTTCATCAATTTTCTAAAAGGTATGTAAAGAATTTTTGTGTGAACAGCTGGACCAATATTTATATTTTTTTTGTCTACATTTTCCTTTAAGATCCTGCTAGTGTATTGAAACAATCTGGGCTCAAAACACTGAAAACTCACTGTATAAAATGTTCGTAATCAGTCCGTTAAAAGGCATATAACGACTTATTCGGCGAACGACTTCACTGATTTTTACTTTCACTTACCGATGTATGAAATATGCACTAAAGGAAAGTATTGCGATCGTGAAAATTTTAGAATCTGTTTTCAACGAAAATACACGTTTTGTAGTGCCCTGAGTCCAAATAACCAAGTCTCGCAAAATGGTCTGTGTGTGTTAACAGTCAAGCTCAAAAAACTAAAAGTCGTTTATTTAAGGTTTTTTATATGCTAGGGACGTTACAGCAACTTTTTCGTCAAAATACCGGAAGTGGCACTTTCTATGATGGACTAAACACATTTTTACGATTTTCTCGAAAACGGCTCGAACGATTTTGATTAAACTCATTGCATCATTGTATAATGAAGTGGTCTTTAATATTAATCAGGTCTTATTCCCATTGATGTTATTTTACAGAGCTTAAATGGCTAATTTTCAATATTAGCTTCCCCTAAAGTACTACTAATTTTTTTTATTTGAAACAATTGACCATTTCACATTAATTTCTAATATAAAATATGGTTAAAAATAAAATATGATAGAATTTGATAATTAACTAAAGGAGAAATAAGAGATCGTAACGGAGAATAGTTGTAATTGAGGAACCAAAGGAATACACTCGAGCACACCTCGGAAAGAAGCACACTCGAGCTCGCCCTAAAGATTAGAACAGGCTTCCATGAGCTTAATATAATACGGACTACGACAATATTATGTAAATATACATATGTGGTTTTCATAAATGTCATTGTTGGTATTGCTTAATATTTAATTATACCGATTACAGCGTTATAAATATTAAAATTTGTACTTAACCAAATAAGAATTTCCACAATGAAATATAAATCAATATAGCGTCTATGATTTTCACTTTCATTTCCCTATTTCTGAAAATATTTATTTCTGCTTGAAGAGGATGTTAAATGAAAGTTGTGTGATGCGCGAACCGCACCAGTGTTTTTTTAGTAAAATAGTTAAAATGATACAGTGAGATATCGTAAATGTTTTAATACAATTTCAATTAAAAATACTGAAAAAACAACCAAATCATCTTTTAAGTATTCTAAAATTTTTATTGTTTTGTTATCATATTATAGTCTAATACATACATAACATGTGTGATCTTGATCATTTGTGTCAAATATCCGTATCCGTACATATATTATTACAGTAAGGCTCGAAATCGGTTTTGTACCAAAAATAAGCTCCTGTCATGCTCAAATACCATGAATGGGGTACCGTTGGATTCAGAATTTCACGGGGGGTTAGCGAATCGTATTCTACGCTTTTGTTTTTCTTTCTCAAATAAATAAAGTCGATACAAACATTTTGCTAGGCTTCAATACTGGAACGGTGGTAGGTCTGTAGATCGATGCGGGACAAATTGTACCTTGAAGATTTTGATGATATCCTCCGGAACTATCGGATCCTGCGTTTTTAAGCCCAAAAACGTACTATATTCGAGATAACGCAAGGCATGGGGCATCCACACAACCTGACGTTAATTGTAGTACTGGCATTGGATACATGTCTCATTTCATCGACTTGAAGTCTCTATGATCGAGACAGGAGGAGTTTATATTATTTATCGATGGTGTTTTTGATCGGCAGGCCATATCATCGTTAATTCTTCCTTCTCCTTCAGGCGGGCAAAATAGTCCAACATCCCGAAAATTCAGGCAAACAAGTTATGAAAGAAAAGAAACTTTATTTGCGAATAACTTAAAAAATTACACACTTTACCCTTGGTTATTCCTATGATTATATAAAACATTACTAAATTGTCTACGAAACGAAAAAAAAAATCATTGAAATTGGACAATTTTTCGCAAAGATACAGTTTATTGAAATTTGTAAATATGTAGGTTCCAAACAAAAATGAAGATTTAAATTTATTTTGTTTCCTTTGTCGATTATATTTATCGATAAATTAACAATTGATTCCTTTACCTTTTGATACGTTGCATTATTTAATTTGGCATTTGATAACAATATGCTGTGCGAATTTTTCACACGGGACTACTAGTAAATAAATATTTAAATTTAAAAAAATAATTATAAATTGGGGAATTCTATCCACCCTACCCTATGGGAATGTACTTCCATATCTGCCACTAGCGGATCCAGGATTTAATTTTGGGGGGCTTCAGCCCGAAGGATTTTTTTTTCATATATATAACGATAATTAATTTGAAAAAAAAGAAGAAAGAAACTAACTACTGATATGCCATGGTGTCTTAGTGATTCTTGAAGTCCTATTAAATGTAATTACACGAACAATAATAGTTTAAGAGATAGTTTTTAATATTTTTTTCTACGGTTATATTTTACCGTTTGGGGAGGGGGAACTTCAGCCCGAAAGCCCTCCCGTAGATCCGCCTGTGATATCTACTTAAACTTTGGTAGATTATTAGAACAATTGATATCTATATATTTTTAAACCTGTTGCAGTAGTCGGGTAGGTTCATTAGATATTACAGCTCTCGAAAAATAGATATCCTCCCATTCATTGCTGCGTGTCAACACAGGCGAGAGTTTCGTTTGGGGTGTGGAAGTCACCAGGCTAGTAACCAACTTTAAATATCCATAGATGTCAATTTCCCTATCAATCCACCAAGATATTTCAGTAGATATGGAAGTACATACCCTTATGAGGAATAGCATTTCCCGATTTGTATAGTTGGGTTTTTTAAAATTCAAATATTTTTTTAGTTTAATTCTCTTTGAGATATTAATATAAAAAATAATCTGACAGTAGAAATACTTCAATATATCTTAAGAAGAATACATTTGCATATCTACTCAAACACATTGGTAAATTGTCAATCAAATATACTTGTATGAATATTTTAATTTATTTATTAGTTGGATGGCTTCCATATCGAACGAAACTCGAGACTTCAAAATTATTATTTAATTTTAACTTCAATGTTTTTCATATATTGACAATTTATATTCAACGCATATCATCATAAACATAAATGTGATCAGATATGAAACAAACAAATAATCTGAGAATACTTAAAATGAAACGTTTTAAATATTTTGATTAAAATTGTTTAAAGAAACTTATAGGATAAATTTAGCCATAAAAAATAAAAAAAAGGGCCGAACCATCCATTCAATAAAAATCGTTACATACTTTAACGTAAACATTAAGCACATTTTATACAATCATTTGTCGTAAGCTCAAACTGTTAAGAACATTAGCGGGATATCGCTAAATAATTGGAGTAATCAAAATTAAATATTGGTGGAGCCATCCGTTCGCTCAAAAAATCATACTTACAAGCCGTCAATAAAAAACAATACCTTATTTTTTACTTTACCGTAGGTGAGTAAAATGAGCATTTTTTTACAAAGAAAGTTTTTTTTTAATCTCTACGTTATAAGTCTGCAACATTTATTATTTCATTTTTTAAAATATTATAATATAAGTACCATTTATCGCTATAATTCCATATTGGGAAAAGAACGGTTAATAGGTATTTCCAAATGACCTGAACGTAATGACTTTTTTGTCTTGTCTTGGGCAATGGCTTAGAAAGAATGGGGGATGGGGTATGTGTAGGTATCGTACATACTAAACAATTAATTTGAAAAAAAAATTGACTTTTAGAATCACACGATTGATAGAAATAAACAAGGATATATAGAGCGCTGGCTGTTGGTACAGAAACCTGCCACCAGTGCAGTCACTTATATTACATAACAGATCGCGAACGATATGAGTCACTACGATACAGTCTGCCGGACTCCGATCGAACTCAGGGAGGAAAACAAGACTTCCTCCGTCGAGTGGTCGTCCTCTTTGCTCATTGTCAGAAAAAAACCAGAAGTGAAGGTTCCACTTGGAGGAAAAAGTAGGTTTCCATTGGTGTTCTGAAGAAAGCCAAAAATGGTGCAGGTCCCTCTTAATCTGATATAAAATAGAATTCCTTAATTTTATGAAAAACATTTAATAAGTACTAATAATCTACATAACATACACATAAAAAAAAAGTAAAGTGTGTGCTTTAGACCACACGATAAAAGTTAAAACATCAACAAGGCGAGATTAATAATATGAAATATAAATTATAAATAATAGCTCATTATAAAGAGGATGAAGTACTGAACATTTCCCTCACTTACAGTATGCAGGTCCGATTTTTAGTTTCTGAGATATTTTAATCCATATATTCCATGAAACTCGTTATCATTTCGTTTTCGACACTATTTTTTCCTTTTCATCTCTTTAACACGGCTTCACGTATAGATACAATTTTTAATAATAGCTTATCACAAAGGTGATATGCTGAATATTTTCCTCAATTATAGTATAGGAGTCAGATCTTAAGTATCTGAAATATTTTAATCCATATGTTCAACTAAACTCGTCATCATTAGGTTTTCGATACTTTTTCCTTTTCTCTTCTCTAACACGGCGTCACACAGTGGTCTGAGAGAAAAAAACCCTATTCCCCTAATTTTCTAGGTACATCGATAATTCAAATTTCTGTTTTATTGTCTGGCATAGTTAACTCATATATTCTTAAAGTTTAGGTACGAATAAAAACATCAGTTTCAAAGACATTCGATAAAATAAAGTAAAATAAAATGATGAATACAAAAATCAGCAGTGACAATTTGAGATTATGGTAATTATCTGGCAAATTCAGTCAAAAAAGTTATATACCAAAAACGAGCAAGAGAAAATTCATACCTGTATCTAAATAAATTTATACCTAATATAATTTACTCCTTTCCGTCATTGAAAACTGGAGGAAAAGTACAGAAATAAAACTGAAAGAAAAACTCATAATTGATACTGGCGTAATATTTCCAGCTATATGTTATGTATTTGATTTTATCTTAATTTAGTTGTAGGTTGATTTGCTCTTCTTCTCTTACCAATATATCCTCTTGATAGTAATATAAGTAATAGATGTTTATAATTGATTCTGTCAATAACCTTATACAATAAATTTTCACTTTTACAACATATTACATACAAAATATATTTTATTTATAATTGAAAAAAATAAGAATAATAATAGCGGTTGGTCATATCAAAATGGTTTTGTTTTATATTAATTCAGAATGGCCATCGTTTTTCATATATCTTGCTTAAATTGAAAGTATGCTTTTTCCGACCACTGTGCCTCGCGTTAAGACACAATTTCGAATTATGGCCTATTGCAGAGAGCATTAAATGCTGAACAATTTTCTCTCTTACAGTATTAATGCCCGATTTTTAGTTTCTGAGATATTTCAATTCATATGTAAAACCTTTTAATTAGTCGATTCTTGCCGACTTTATCCGAGCGTTAACACTTCGGAAATCTGACGGATCAATCTAATTCACTCTCCGCAAAAAAAGTTCAAAACGCGGCTAAAGAAGTTTTCAGTTAAAAAATAATAAAAATAATAATTATAAATACTTACCTAATCGAAGAACAGCCATGAGAACCATAAGACAACCCGACAGGAAGCATAGGAGAACAGCGTAATCCTGATTCCTGTTGTAAACTTGCTGATAAGTCATGAGGGACATCAAGGCAGTGGGTCCTATCGTTATGTCCTTGCAGCTTCCGAACACCGTGTACACGAAGCAACCGAGGAAGGAAGAATACAGTCCATACTGCAACGGATAAATAAATATTATACATATTATTTTATTATATTTAGTATATGATATAATAAATAAACAGTGGCGTAACAACCGTGGAGTAGTTAGAACAAGTTGCTCCTAGATCAGAAGCAAAGGCGGATCTACGGGGGGGAGCGGGGAGAGGGCTTTTGGGTTGAAGTCCACCTCTTCTCAAAAAATACAACCATATGTCACAGAAAAAAATATTAAAACATATCTCCTAAAGTATTCTTGTTCGTGTAATTACATTTAATAGGACTTCAAGAACCACTTAAACACCATTTCATAAAGGTAATTAATTTCTTTCTTTTTATTTTCAAATTAATAATCGTTTTATATATATATATATATATTAAAAAATGAAATTTCATGACCTATTATTCATATCTTAAGTTACATATATATATATATATATATATGAAAAAAAAAGCTTTCGGACTGAAGCCCCTCCCACAAAATTAAATCCTAAATCCGCTAGAGGTGAGGAGTGGAACCATGCAGTGAGACAAAAACAGAAAATTAATAACTACAAAATTAAATTATTACAACATTCAATATGACCATTTCAAGATAACGAGACAGAAACACAACCGAGATGGCCGTTTCTCGTTTCATACACTTTAAGACATCAAAGTTGAACTTAAAGGAAGTTTCTTTTATATTATTTAGGTTCTTTTATATATTTAATATACTGATTTTGTCTGTTAATTTTATTTAAATGTTAGACTATATTTTTATCCTAATAAGCCTTTGGAAATCATATACAAATAGTCATTGCCAGTAAATTGAACTATTTATCTTTCAATTAAATATCGGTCCAGCATACTGTAAAAGAGGGAAATGTTAAGCATCTAATCCTCTTTGCAAAGAGGTATTATTCAACATTGTATCTTAACGTGATGCCTTGTAAGAGAGGCAAAAATTAAAAAGATAGTATCGAAAATCAAATATTTTTATCAAAATATTTAAGATATAGATTAAAATATAGCATTTCATACTCTTTGCTACAATGGGTTATAATACAAAATCGTATTGTGACGTGACGTCGATTCAAAGAGTCGGAAAGAGAAAAATAAAATTATATTTCATTTTATAATATTTTAAATATTCAGATCTAAAATTGTTTCAAAACACCTATAGGGTAAATTTAGCCATAAGAAATTAAAAATTGGTCAAACCATTCTCTATAAATATTGTTACATACTTTAACATAAAGATTAAGCACATTTTATACAATAATTTGTCGTGAATTCAAATATTTTCAGAACATTCACCGGATATCACTGAATAATTAGAGTAATCGAAATTAAAAATTGGTTGAGCCAATCGTTAGCTCAAAAATCATACCTAAAAGCAGTCAAACAGTCAAAACAAATTACCTTATTTTTGACTTCGTCTTAATTGAGTAAAATGGGCATATAATCTAATGCCTAAAAAAAGGGAAAAGAGACAATGTTCAAGGGTGCTTTAGAACCAGTTAAGCCACTGTAAATAAACACAATTAACCCAGACCGAAACATTTATTTAAAAAGAAATAAAACCATGTAGGGCCAATCCATGTTGCTCGACATTTTTTATTTTTATAACTTTTTTTACCAGTTATTCTTTAATTATTTGAGAGTTCAAAGCCGTAGTTAATAAAAATTTGAGGCTCACAGTTTTTTCTCGGCGACCATTTTTAATTTCTTTTTCGACTGAAAACATATTTTGGAAAAATGCCTTTAACTCAAGTTATTTGGTAGATATCAAGCTAAAATAAAAACGGGAATAATTTAGAGTATTTTTTCAACATTTCATGGCTGCATATTATCGTAATCTAAAACTTTTTTTATTTCCGAAAATTCTCGAAAATATTTTCAACCTAGAGGGCGGCAAACTTTGTCAATTTAATTAGGTACTAAAAACTCATGAACAACCATTTGTTCTCCACTTGAATTTTAAAATAACTTGATCACAAAATCGAGAAAAAAACGTGGCCTACAGAAGTATAGACGGGACCTCCCCCACCAACGTATGTTAAACGACCCAATATTTTATGTAAGTCACCTTTTTCCTCTATTTTGTTATCAAATTACTTTACTATTCAAGAGGAAAGCAAATGGGTATCCATGGGTTTTTAGTACCTCTTTAGATTAATGAGAATTTGAGAGAATTTTCGTAGATAAGAAAGTAGAAGATCATGATAAGATGAAGCAATTCACAAAGTTTTAGACGGAAGTTGATAAGTTGTTAAAAAGGGGTCTGTATCGCAGACCATATGTAGGATAAAAGTTTCATGTTAGATGGTCCCGCCACTATCTTCTTTTCCGGTGCTTTGAAGGGATGTCAGCAGTGTTAACCTGAGGTCGCGGTAACAGGGGCGCCAACATGGAGGGGCGTCCGATGAGAGCGCCGGATCTTTAGGGACCCTCACGTCCTTGTATTAAACATAGTAAATGATCTTTTAAACTTAATAAGAGGTGTTGACGGTTAAACGAAGCCGACATCAAAGTGGAGAGCAGGTTCTTAAGGATACAGAACTGGGAGGACCTTTTCTCAGGGTAACTGGTAACTGGTTAAAGTAACTGATTAAGTAAGTGGTTCCCATTTGGGATGTGGCCAGTTTAAATAATTTTACACCCGCAGAAGTTGAAAACCAATCAAAACCATCCTTGCCCCACCCTGAATGTTTGTGTAAAATCTCGTAGATGAGAATGCTCAAGGACTTATGTTTTCTTCCTACTTGGAAAACGGAAAAATGAGGAGTTAGTCTTATGTTTGCATTCAGCTTTGGGGACTTAGGATACAGCTAAACATATTTTATGGAATATATCTAAAATCAGTCCATCTCAATCATATATCCATTCAAAGTATTTATTAAATTGGATAATAATTTTATTTTGGTTATTATAAATATAATTTGTACATTAAAATATTCAAGTTATTTGTATATATACTTTATCAAACCTAGGAATAAATTAATTTTTTTAGTAATTCTATTTTTAATTCTTCCACCTATTTATACCATGATCACAGGTAATGGTTTCTCAACCAGCCTTTGAGAAAAGGAATTCAATTAATTAATTCTGAACCAATCAATATATTATAGATCTAAGTTTGTTTAACCAATATTTTATTATTAATTTTTATTTAACATATCTGAGTACTTATCGTCAATAATTATCCAGTGGCATCCCGAATAATGTTACCCCCAAAACATAGTTATTTAATGTCATCCCTTTTGTGGGGATAAAACATAAAACACCGCTTGTTAAAAATAAAGAAAAAATACAAAACATACGGCAATAATTAATTTAAGCCTATAAATAAAGCAACTGTATTAGATAAATGTTGAATGAAATAAATTCAAATATTACATAGTATAAAACAGATAAAGGAACAAATTTAATTTGTTTAGGGGAGAGGGGGGGTGTCATTGCTTGGAAGCGCTGAATGTCTAAGGTCGGCACAGGTTGTCAGCTTAATAAGGTTCAATAAATAGAGGATTAGAACAAAAGGGATAAATATTTAGTTAATGATTCACAAGTTTTTTTTACGCGATTGAAGCTATTTCAGTTTCTTTTATAACTAGAATTGACTTGATGAAATAAGTGGGAAAGAACAAAAGTACGTAATGGAGTTAGTTTATGAAAATTGTGGTCCCATTATTATGGACCAAATAAGAGAATGAAATGATATTTAATGAGAAGCCATTAAGAGACCTTGCAGTCTATTTGTGCTAAGAGGACATGCGAATAGATTCTTTTTGATGTGGCTTAATAGGACGGCATGGTTACCTTTCAAAAAGAATTCTCAAGATGTATTTTTAAAAATAAATCGGCTAATATCAATGTATTGGCATCAGAAACGTGTTTGAAATAATTAATGAGTCTTATTTTGATGAAATCTGCTTATTGTCAAGCTCATGACAGGTGTGGATGGAAATATGAGGAAAAAAAAACATGTGTTACTGAAGTAATACTATATATATATATTTTTTTTTGCAAATTACTAATGATGAAAAAAAATGTTTAGGCAAATAATTGGAATTAACTTTTTACTTCTTTTAATTTGTCACTTGAAAGGTAATGTTACATTAGATGTATAATTGTTGGGAAATCAACCATTATGAAATAATTTGCAGCGTTATTTATACTCATACTCATAAAATGAGAACGCACATCAAGAATTTTACCAAATCGCTGTACTTTAGTGTGCAGGGTGGCCGAATGGGCTAAAGCGTGTGCACTGCACCGGCGTTGCCCGGCAACCTGATACATAAGACTTTGATAAAAAAAAAGTCACGAGTTCGCGTCCCAGTGCCCAGAGTTTTTAAATCCCCGCCACATTCCCTGGCCCGGGAAAACCCCCGTATAGCCTTAAAGGCGAGGAAGTGAAAAAATCGCTGTACTTTATTTACCTAGTAGCGGTATGAAAATAAAAATAATATATAGTTAAGGGAAAGTAAAAATTGCTAGAAATATGTACCTAATAGTTGGCCCTTGCGAATGATTTCCACAATATAATGGTTTGTGAACAAATTGCAATATGCTAAATAATTTGTGATATGGAATTACGTAAATGCAATGGAAAGGGAAAAATTAATTTTATTTCCTTCACTCGATTAAAATGGTTCATTCAAATTAATAAACCTTAACATGTGTACAAATTACAACATCCCTTATCGTAAGTGATAATATTTTATTTATTTATTTATTTTTTAAGAAGAAGTTAGGAACCTTATAAATAATCATTGGTACTATCAACCATAAATTATATACTTTTTGATTTAAGTGGAAATGAATTTTCTTTTTTATCATCATAACTTTTTTTAAAGTATATACTTATTCTCTAATCTGAATGAGAAGATAAACATTAAAACAATGGCCCTGTCATTGAATTTGAAGAAATAACGAAGATGCCACGTACCGACAGAAAAACAAAAAACACCTTTGACAAATAAAATATAAAGATTAAATAGTGAGAAAAAATACAGCATTATGTAATTAGGTGTACATTTTTTTTTTAAATTAATTAAATCACTATCACGATAAAAAACGGAAATTAACAGAACATTGTATTATTCTTAATGGATATCGTCGCCAGATTATAATGTTGATTAAGGTATATTCTGTAAATCCTGAAGCCTTAGATATTAGATGGTTAATACTGATTACTTAAACAGAATATCACAGTTTAAATTATCTGTTTCTTTATATGTAATCATCGCCTTAAATATATATCCGTATGCATCTTAATTATCCATGAGTATACCGATCGTTATATTACATACAACTTTTATATATTACAAACAAAAATGTCTAATATAAAATGATAAAATTACACTAAAGTTTATCCAAAAAGAATTAAATAGTAATGGGAGAATACAATTTTAAAATAAAATTATTAAAACTATCATCAAAATCTCTCTACATAGTTGAAATACAAACATCAACAATTGAAAATGTGTAATTAGGCTATTTAGTTTTAATCATGAGGATAAAATGAAAAAAAGTAGAATCTCTATGATGATTATGGCAGAGCACCCAGGAGGAAGGTGAAAGAGAGGAAGGTCAAGGTTGGTGAGGGTTATGGAGGAGGCCAGGGTTCTGAAGAAACAGGAGTGAGGGAATCTGGTATACAAAAGACGGATACAGTTTTCAACACAACCGCCAAGATATTCGGATATGCCAATGATTTTGATATTGTTGCAAGATATCCAACAGCACTTCTTCAGCTATAAAAGGCCATTAAGAAGTTTGGACTTGTCAACGAAACGAAAACTAAATATTTGCGAATTGGACCGGAAGGTATCCGAGAAGATCATATTGAGATTGGGACATACAAGTTAGAGAGGGCGCAACAATTTGTGCACTTAGGGTTGGGGATGGATTCGGGTGGCAACATATCTCAAGATATTAAAAGTCGCATCGCAGGGGCAAGCATGTGCTACTATGGCCACGTCAAGCAATTTAAAAGTAGGTTTATTACTTAGGAGGCTAAAGTGAATTTAACAAAGGCCTTGTTCGCTCGGTCCTGGCATATGGATCTGTTTATGGGCGTGGAATAAGGCTGATGAAAATAGACGAACCTTTCAACAACGCAGATGTTGCTAGAAGAACCAGTGTGAGGCGGGACACTGCGCCAGAATGGATGAAAATGATATCCCAAAAAAAATTTAGCAAAGGAAACTATCTATCAATCAAGTAGAGTGGCACGATCCAAAACAATATGGCTAGATAGCGTCCGCGCAGCTGTCAGAAATATTATTGGAATAACGGCCTATATGGCTGCTGCGAAGGGATGGATGGCGGAAACCTTTGAAGAAGGCCTTGATTGAACAATGAATTAAAGCTTCGTAATTGTATGAATGTATTATGTATTTAGTTTTAGAGCTGTCAAAATTGTAGCATTTCTGTTTTTTTGCCGTATTTTTTCTGAAAAATAATAGACTCTAATATAGTACATTTTGTATCCGTTTAGAACTCCTAGAACATGAGTACGGGACTTAAGAAGTGACATACTTCCTTTATAGTTCAGCCAATAAGAGCTCTTCGAGGCAGGGTTGCCTAGATGATTAACGCGTGTACGAAACATAAGTTGTCCCGGGCGCAAACTTGATAAATTGGTGAATACATTCGCTTTTAACTGTGGCATTAATCTCACAACCTCTCCTCTGGTTCGGGAAAAACCTCGCACTGCGTAAAATACGAGGAATAAGAGGAATAAAAAAAAAGCTCAAAAAGGGAGTGTAGAGAGAAATTGAAGCAACACATTGCTTTGTTATTTTCAATAATCAACCATTGTGATCGACCAAAAAATTCAAAAACTTAACACCCTCTCAAAATTTGAGGTTTCTTGTTTCAGGATACGTAGAATTACAAAAAACGAATAAAATTTTATTTGTCCGTCCGCCGTCCGCGCATTTTCTCCGGAATTACTGGACCGATTTTTTTCTAATTTGGATATAAAATCAGAGGTCACCCGAGGATGATCCTCCTTCATCGACATTATTATCCGCCTCTTACTTTTAAAATGGCGGCCAAAAAACCTGCGTTGCTATAGACAGTAGCGCCTAAACGAATGTTCCGATTTCAATGAAACTTCGCTAAAGTCATTTTCTCTACGCCCTTTAAATTTATCTATATAACATACTTCAACGAAAAGAAGCTGAAAAAAAAGTTACGAGGGATGGTAAAATTAAATTCAGAATAACTCAAAAAGTTCACACTTTTTTGTCGATAGAGTACATGGTTTTTTAAAAGATTACGAAATTTCCTAAAAACCAAAAAAAAAATCGTTAAAATCGGACAATTAGGAGCAAAGATATGGTCTCCGTTTTTTTTAATATGTTCTACTCCAAATGTTATATCCTTTGTTTGGTTTTTAAATTTTGAATGTGTTACTGATATAATGCTATTTTTTTTAGCATATTACAATGATTAAAGATAAAAAAAAGAAAAAGATTAGTCCAATCTTGTATTTATTTTTTTTTTATTTATTTATATGAATCATCTTTTATTTATTTTTCTTTGTAAGTATGAAGGTAATGTTACTTTAGATGTATAATTGTCTGGAAATAATAGACCATTGTGAAATAATTTGCAGCGTTTTTTTTTTACTTTGGGACTCAGGCTGGATTAATTATGAGATAAACATTCTAAGTCATCACTTTTAGGAAGTGAGGCAGATCACTTTTTGTGATTTTCCGCTTACATCAGAAAAACCATCCGTTCTTTACAATGAAGATCTGTTTAATTTCAAACTCAAAGCTGATACAATTTGCAACAATATTCATTTTTTAGCTATCTTGTATAATTTCCGAGATGTCCGTGCAGAATATTCGCTTATCTTGAAATAAAAAAAATATTTTGTCTTGACCGGGCAACAATCAATCAAGTAAAATAGATCAAATAAAGTAATTATGATTTTATTTAAAGTTAAATAAATTAAAATATGAGACTGACCTGAGGTTCGAGCCCGGCCAGCGCAGCGTAAGCCAATGCCTGGGGCATAACGGTGAGCCCGACGGTGACCCCTGCGATTATATCCGCCACCAAGTCCTCTGTGTTATATTTAGGAAGCCATGACGTTATAGGGATCCTCTTCTCGATAAAGGTTTTACCCTTTAGGTTGTCCCCAGGCATATTCTGAAACATACAAAAGATATCCAACCATTAAAAAAAACAAAAGTATACAAACATTATTAAATCATCAATAACTCACGTTAATAAATAAAATTACTAATTCACACATAAGTCATAGAAAGAGTATTAAATGTTTATCTATATCACAGGAGTTAAATTTATTTCTATCATTTATAATAAATAATATAAGAAGTTTATTCACGAATAATAATAAAGAACGATTAGGTATTGGATTTGCTTACTTTAATCAAACATACCGAGCAATGCCTCATAGTGAAATGCCGAAGAAAATTAATTTTCTGAATTTTCTTATTGAAAAGATATCGAAGGATGAGTCATAGGTCTATTGCATACCAAATGAGATTCGCTAAAGATAAGATTAAGATTAACCAACCCCTCTGATCATCACTTCTTTTTTTTTTAAACAATTATCCGTTTTTTCATGATAAAAAACATTAAAAATACTGTTTGTTCATGAGAGATGTATCCATTCATTCTGACCCAATCCCTCAGAAGAGAGGTTTTGTTTACCTCAACACAACCTTCATAATACTTCATAACAGTAAAATACAATAATCCTCGATTAAAAAAAAAAGTCTGCCAATTAAGGCCAGTATAGCTTCCTCGCCTTTTCAATGTCTGAAAAATATCTATATCTCAAAGCCTATGATTTTTCGTATCAGAATCAAATCTCCGGCAGTAACCGTTTTCGGAAATACAGAAATTCCTTTACATTCGCGGTTTGATATCCTCGAATTTTGTTCATCATCGAATAATATAATGTTGAAGAACTCAAAATTTGCAAATCGCGTATTTGACGAATCGTGATTAAAAAAAAAAAACAATACATTCTGAAGATGTATATCTTGTTAGTGCAAAAGGTCGGTCGTATGTAAAAATTCAGTGTTTTACAGGAGAGCATAAAAACTAATTATTTCTTTATGATTTCTTACTTTAATTTCAGATTTTATTTTCCTCTGCTATTTTCCATAGTACCCGGCTTACGTTTACATACGTAATAGGTATGTTTTCACTAGGAAAATTGATGGAACTAAAAAAATTCCAACCCTCTTGTTTCTAACCTTGCTTCCTATTCAATTCCTGATAACCCTCCGAGGCGTCTGAAAAGAAGATGACCACGTGATCTCCTAATATAGATATACTATTAGAGTGCTACCAATGGGTAGTTTCTCAACATGTGTTTCATGTCATTATATCCATGTGCGAATTTACCAGATGTATTTTTGTATACAGTTGTAAATATCATATAAATAAATAAAAATAAAAAAAACTTCTTTTTTACTATCTAAAAAGTCAGAATTCATTAAAATTTACTGAATATTACATGAAATCTGAGTGAAGGCAGTAAGTGTCATACCAACAACGTTTAGAATCGACAAACAATACAGTATAAATTAACTTTTTGAATAAAACCTAAAATGTTATATGTTATAACCATAAAAATATTGTATAAACCTAACTCCTATTTCATGTGATCAATGCCTTCCACATTTCACAGCTAATCAATTATTAATAGTTCTTTATATTGATTTCAGTTACGAACTGGAATTCAATGAAATTGTTACTAGGTAATTTCCATACTTTTCTCTGAATTTCAAGTTTGTGTCAAATCGAATGCGCATTTTTTTGTTTTTTGTTTTTTTTTAGCAGAGGATAGAATTTGATAAGATAGATAACTACTTAATTATCTATTAACCAATCCCTAACTTCCTTCCAAATTTGAGCCAAATCGAAATAGTGGTTTTACAGATATAGACGTATAAATAAAAAAAAATTTGTGCATATATAAGAGAAAATGATAGACGGAATTCTATAAAATCGACACAGAATCATTATTTCACCAAAACCTACCTTTTTTTCAACTCTGGACTGAATCAAACGAACCGTTTCTGAAATAATGGCATATCTATAAAAATACATTTACGCGGGCATTTAATACATGTAAGTTCTGGATGGAATTTGATATACATACAATGCTTCCCTACTTTCGGTGGTAAGAAAGCAAACATATTTGGTCCACTGTATTGTAGAAGCTATTTATTTCTATTTGATAAGAGAAAAAGCCAACTCAAAAAATTGTCCCAATAGGAGGAGCAATTTTGGTTTATTATTTTCAATAATGAAACATTGTGATCGACCAAAAAATTCAAAAACATAACCCCCTCTCAAAATTTGAGGTTTCACGTTTCAAGATGCATAGAATTCGAAAAACGAATTAAATCCGCCGTCCGCGCATTTTCTCCGAAACTACTGGACCGATTTTCTTCAAATTTTGATATAAAATCAGAGGTCACCCGAGGATGATCCTCCTTCATCGAGATTACTCTCCGCCTTTAACTTTCAAAATGGCGGCCGAAAAACCTGCGTTGCTATAGACTGTAGTTCCTAAACGAATGTAGAGATTTCAATGAAACTTCGCTAAAGTCATTTTCGCCCTTTAAATTTAAATATAAATGGTTTTTTTAAAGTTTATAAAATTTCCTAAAAAAAAAAAAAAAAAAAAAAGTTAAAATCGGACAATTAGTAGCAAAGATATGGTCTCTGATTTGTTTTTATGTGTTCTACTCCAAATGTTATATCCTTGGTTTGGTTTTTAAATTTTAAATGTGTTACTGAAATAATGCTATTTTTTTAGCATATTACTAATGATTAAAGAAAAACAGTTTAGTCCAATAATTGGAATCAGCTTTTGTTTTGTTTCCTTTGTAACTCGGAAGGTAATGTTACTTTAGATGTATAATTGTTTGGAGATAATAAACCATTGTGAAATCATTTGCAGCGTTTTTAAATTTATGTTTGTTTTGTAGTAACATTTTCATAGTTTTTTCGTCATCTAGAAATACTAAGACCAACCCATAGCTATTTTTTTAGATTTCTAAGAAATTAGTTATTTTTGGCAATTAGTTATAATTTTATATTACATTATACAATATTAGTTATAATTTTGGTAATGATATTTTTAATTTTGTCTACGTTGAAAGGTGGAAGTTCAATCATAATTCGCGGGGGGGAGGTGATATGGTAGAATGGTAAAGAAATTGACTTTATTTTCCTCAAGTAGGATATGTTATGTGCACAATGTTCTGATTTCATAGACAGTAAATTCATTATATGGAATGGTACTTAATGATTTTTTGCAAATAAACCGATGATATATAATCCAAATTTACAGGAAATGCTGATCTCTTCTGAAAGCTATATACATACGCCAAAAATATAAATATGGGGTGTATATATATATATATATATATATATATATATATATATATATATATATATATATATATATATATATATATATATATATGCAAGCGAAATAAAGAACTGAATAACATACACGGAAAAATATATGAAAATGTTGATGAATAATCAATCCATGGCCATTACTTTTGAGCTGAAAATTAGTAACCTAATCTGTATAAGATGCGTCACTTTATAAGATGAACTGATAAATTCAAGAAAATATCACAGGATGAAATAATAAAAAAAATCATGATTCAAAAAAATTATTTATTTAAAAGCTTATTTCTCAGTTGTAAACATAATTTTGCGAATGAATTTGCAAAAAATTAGGAAGAACTACAAGATGTTTCGCCAAAAAATTATTCTCAAATATGTTTCAGTTACATACAATCAGCCGCTGCTGGCAGTCAAATGCCTCCACCAATTGGCATTCCTTAGTGCGGAGGCGATCTCCAACAGAATTAAAAAACTGAGGAAGAAGACCAGGATGATGGTCGCATTGTCAAGGTATATGGACGGGTCCCTCGCCAGGGTACGCTGGCATGGATATCTTTGCCAAGGGGTCTGCATCGCCAAGGGAATGGGCGAAGAATGAAGGTCCTAGTCTGATTCTGATATATTTATCGATCCTCGAAGAAAGCGCAGATTTCTTAACACAGCGCTGAGCTCATCGGTGGCATCGTGATTCCATAAGATGTTTTCGAAAAACTAACAATGGAACTCGCGCCGTGGTTTTTTTTTGTCATTTATTAAATCACCGATGGCATAAATTCCATCGGCTATTGGGGTCGAGGAATCCGATGGATGTAACCAAGTTATAACCTTAATGTTATAATTTGTTTTTGTTAAAAAGAACTAATAACCACGATCAGCATTTATCAATTGTAAGTATAATTCTTCTTCCACGTTCGCGAAAAAGTGTTCATCTGAATGCTCCACGATTATTTGTTTCTGATCCACAGTGCTTTTTTAGCTATTATAATTATTTCCTGAGTGTTTTTAAACTCAACAATTATTCCAGACATTGTCTTTTATTATTTTATATTCATTAATTTAATTAAAGAATTACAATGAAATTAAATAATTATAATTAAATTTAATATGTAATTATTATTTTATACTATACATTTTAATACACATAGATTATGTGTTTTGTTACTTTAAAGAAAATCCAGCGGGTGGTCTCTAAATTCAGCGCAAATCGCACTCCATTAGTGCTCAATTCAATCGAGTGATGGATTATATTTATAGAAATAGCTTTGGGTTTAAAAGCTTGCCTATACTCGGAAACGTGATTCTCTAAGATCTGTTCTATGTTTACTTGATACACGTTGTAATATTACTGAGGCCAAATTAGGCACATATAGATAAAATTTGGTTTAATCAGTTAAATTAGCAATTAATTTGGAAAACTGTAGATAATTAGACAAAAAAACACCTAGTACTTGAAAAAAATATCCGAAAAGGTCAGAATGAACTGAAATGATAGACTCCATGAGTTTAAAGGGAAACTATATTAATTTGATACTGTCCAAGAACTTTTATATTTTAACCATCGTGTTTTCCTCCAATGTCCAATAGTATTGTAGTTCGTCTCACTGTTCGTCAATAACTACTCCTAATACGAAAAAGTCAAATTGTTTTTCGGAGATTTAACGTTCTAGACCAGAATCATACATAAAGAAAACGACTTATTCATGATTAAAAGCAATGTCAACTGTATAATTGTTAATTGGCTTTTAATTTAAAAATAAATTGAGATGCTTAGAAAAAACGAAAAAAAAAAAAGAAGTTATCTCACTAAGCTGAACACGATATTTATCACAAAATTTTAACATTAATTTACGAGCAGAATCAATTGATCTCCATTTTCGTGGCGGTCGCCAAACTGGTTTCGCCAAGGCGCAATATATTATTAGATAACGCCGGACATCCATTCGGACTGAACTGAACTGATTAAAATTTTGTCAAGTGCCGACTGATACGACCAACCACAGTCAGACCTCAATCGGGCTTCTAATACCGCAAGTAGATAAACGTTTCTAATAATTCCTCTATCATTAAAATCTGATGAAGAATATCTCTAATGTAACTTGCGTAACAAAATCGAATCACCAGATTGTAAAGAAATAACCATTGAGATGTTGTTAAAGAAAAAAATAATCAAAATCTTCGATAAACTTTCAGTACATCCTTTTTATATATACACTATAATATTTTTAATATACTAATATATACACTATATATATATATATATTTATATATACACTATAATATTTTTAATAATATAATATTAACACTATAATATACCATTGGGTAAATGGTAAATTTTACGAAATTACGTATTAATATATATTAATGTTATGTTCACAGAACTATGAGATATTTTGTGGCCTTAATCAGTTTTTTTAACACTGCCTATCTTGAGCTATTGCTTTATAGTTTTTTCGCATGCAACATTTTTATTGCAAAAAAAAATATTGATTTAATCTTATAATCTTGTTTCTGACCACGTGGTATCATATTACTGAGGCATTCCTTTTTGCGCAGAGAGTTTGAT